CGCGCCCCGCTTACTTCACTGGCGACCGGCAGCCGGGCGGCTGTGGCCGCCTCGCCCTTCTCTGGCCGCGGACTGGCTTCCCGCTGGCCGGGCCCTCTGCACCGTGCCCAGAGCTTGCCCCCACGGAGCGCGCCGTCTCTGCAGGGGAGGTCTTCTGCTGTTTGGAGTCGTGTCGCGCCGTGCTCGGCTGACCCTTCTCCACCTCTGCCTGTCCTTGAGATCAAAACACTTTGACCCCTCCCCGACCGGCCGGGCTCCCACTTCGCAGCGCCTCCCAGACGGGCCGTCCGCCGTCCTGCGCCGCGTGCCGAGCACCCCTTCGGCGCCCGTTGTTCCCGAGGCGGTGTGGGGTCCCGGCAGGAGCCACGGGGTACAATCCCCACACCCTCACCTTTGTATCGCAGCATCAGGGAAGCTGCATTCATCTTCTGGATTTGCTTCCGCAGTTTTTGACTTCCCAGGCTGCGTTCACGACCTCATCAGTCTTAAAACATCACTTCCCAGGGGGCTTGAGCGTTTCCTGAGCCAGGGGCTCTCCAGGCCCCTTAGCGGCTGCCGGACAGGGCCAGCCCACCCCGCTGCAGGGCCGCGGTCCCCAGACAGATGGGCCGGGATACTATTCAGCCGTGAAAGGAGCAACCCGACGCACGGACGGTGACCTCAGAGGGAAGGCGGGGGCCGTGGGGCCCGCGGAGGGCGCCCCAGACCCGCTCCTGAGTGGAAGCGGCCAGTGGCAGGCAGCTGTAGGGCTCGGTGCCTGTGACTCTCGGGGGGCAGCGGCAAAGATGGGGAGCTCAGCGGCCGGGCGGGCCGGCGCCGGGGCCGCCAAGCTGTTCTGTGCCCTGCGTGGTGCTGGCAGCAGTCTGGAGTGGTTAAAACCCATAAAACTGCACACCAAAAGAAAAGGTCCATTTTATTGCATTTTAAATGAAGAAATAAAAATTTAAAACACGTCCTATTTTTTTAAAGGCGAGCAATACCAGGAAGAATGAGGAAAGAAATAAAATAAGAGCTGAAGTCTCCTGTCTAACAAAATGATTTGAGAAGTTATCTGGATTACCCAATCTAAGCGTGGATCCGATGCTGGAAGAGGGCATCTTTTTCAGTTATGTTTAAAAAATACTATCTGGGGCCTAAATTGCAAAGCTGACAGCTTGGTAATGAGGCATAAAACCCTGATCCGAATCATATTTTAGACCTTAAAAGCCATTTCCCATACACGTGTGTTTAATGTGATGGGAGGCTTTGATTGAACAGCTAACTTGACCTTTATTACAAACACGCTGTGCCCCTCAGAGTTGCATGGCAGCTTACATAAAGTAGAGCTATTAAAGACAGAGCCAGTGTTTAAAGATGAGGGCTGGGGCCCTCGGAAGAGCCAGGCTCAGGGAAGAGCCGGGCCATGGAAGAGCCGGGACGACGGAAGAGCCGGGCCACAGAAGAGCCGGGCCCACAGAAGAGCCGGGCCACGGAAGAGTTGGGCCCACGGAAGAGCCGGGCCCACGGAAGAGCCGGGTCCATGGAAGAGCCGGGCCCACGGAAGAGCCGGGTCCATGGAAGAGTTGGGCTGACGGAAGAGCCGGGACGACGGAAGAGCTGGGCCACGGAAGAGCCGGGCCCACGGAAGAGCCGGG